ATATGAAAATCGGATATAACTATAGGCTCCTGAGCAATGGTAGGTTATTTTTCAAATTTTCGATCTTATTGGTTTAGTTCCATGGCATAAATAAGATTGATACCACATCATTTATCCCTTAGGTTGTGATAAATGTTGCAAACCTGTATTTCAGCTTACTATGTTAGTCCCAAAACTTTAGTAAGTTTGTTCTCAGATCTTTTTCAACTTTATTGGTTTAGTCCCTTGGCATAAATGGAGTTGGTACCCGCTTTACTTACCCCCTAGGTTGTGGTAAGAATGTGGAATCTGCGATAGCGTCCTTTTCATATCTATTGATTTAGCCCCTTGACAAAAATAGATATGCGAACCCACGCTCTAGGCATTATTGAGTTAACTGTGTCATCCTTACCCTTGTACTTTTTGGTTTATAGTACAGTTTATCTTTCAAAAGTTTTTTGGTCAAAATTTGGGGTCTTCCATTATTTAATAACCCTCTCGCACCCTTCAATCAGAGAGCAATTAAATAGAGGCAATTGTCATACCCCAAATTTACCCGCTTTGATACCAAAAGCTAATTTTGTTTCACTAGGACTATTAGGTCATTTTTATACTAATTTTAATTTTATTATTTGTTTAAAATTACATTATCAGGCGTGCTAATATTTATTTAAGTGGTCTAAATATAGGATAGTCCAATTGAGCTTTATTTATAAAATTATTGTAATTTTTTTTAAATTGGGGCTCATGATCTATTACTTAAAGGGCCCATTAGTTAAAGCCCATGATGAATTTAGTTTAAATAAAATTATTAATTATTTTATCTCTTTTGTTTGGTTGACCGAAGTCAACACTATCAATTTTTTATATATTCTTATAATTTTATTATTTAGTTATTATTTTTTTGGTAATAAAAAATATATATTTTGTTTTAGTCAGGTTGACCCAGAATCAACGTTTATAAATAGTATTTAAGTATATAACTTTATTATTATTCATTTTTATTTTTATTTTTTACTAATTAATTATTGAGAAATGTTGACTTAGTCAAAACAAGGATTTTCAGACCCTTAGCAAAGCTGTGCCCATAATGTGCTCTTCATCACTAAGATACAACAAAGGCCAAAATTTCAGAAAGATTGTTTGAATCAAATCAAAATCAGAAGATTGAATTTTATTGACGATGATACAAATTTATACACAGATACAGTCCAAATTCATTACATTACAAACACTAATTTCTAAAATCAAATCAAATCTTCATAATTTACAAATCAAATCTCTAATTTTAATAAATCTAATTCCTAATTGAAATATAATAGCAATTAGACTTAATTCTTTTTCCTAATTCAAACAAAACTTAAGACTATATAAATCCTAATCCTAAACAGAATTGGGGGGGGGGGGGGGATTGAAGATTGAGGAGAAGAGTTGGAGATCAGAGGATTGAAGCTTTTGTCTCCTTGTTGCGAATCCTTCAACCTTTGTACCTACGAAAAGGAAACGAAGAAGAAGTCATAGGAGATAGGAGAAAAGATATTCGGAAATTTACTACAAGTTTCACTGTGGGCGGGGTAATCCTAGAACTTAGCTTAGGAATTTTGATAACTGTTGTTGTGATTGTTGTTGGATTTCTGGAAATTTCGTGGGAAATTAGAGTTTTTCTGGATTTTTAAGGTTATGATTCTTATTGTTTAGGTTTATGGTTCATGTATTGATAGGGTTTTTAGGGTTTCGCCTAGGTTTCATCAGAGTTAGGTTAGGGTTCGTCGTTTCTGCGTTTTATGATGGTGTTTCAGGAAAACACTCATCTTGTATGTCAGTCTCAATGATCGCCCACGGTGGTTCATGCTAGGGTTTTACGTTAGGATTCCTAAATTTTTAGGTTCAGAGTTTGTGTTTTTAGGGTTCTATGTTTCTAGATTGTGGTTTGAAATTCCCGGTTGAAGCTTAACCTGAGAAATAGGATTTACGGTGGCTAAGGGATTGTATGGGGTGGCTCCGCCGGCATAAGCGATTTTCGATGGGCCAGGGTTGTGGTTTAATTGAGAGAGAGAGAGAGAGAGAGAGAGAGAGAGAGAGAACAAAATGGGAAAATGAAACATTGTAAAGGAAATCCATTTAAACACTCCCTTCGTCCGCTTCCTCGTGTGCTACACGTGGCCCTTCATTGGCCATGGGATATGGAGATTGTTGACCAGTCTCCATGCGCTCAATCCTACCATACTTCATAGTCAACTTTCCATCATGACCATTCGTTTGTCATACTTTTAATCGGCGTTCCAGAATTAACTTCTGGTGACCCTTGATCAAAATCAAACTCCTTTGGGTTCGTTAGCACACCATAAAGGCATGGGCTCACCCTCACAGAGTCCATACGGACTCAAATGTTTATTTTGGGCTAAGTCTATTACTAGTTGCACTCCACAATTTACTTAGAGCAACTAAAATTATACCCCCTGACAATTAGACTGAACAAATATTTAGACTTCGCCCTTTGCTATTTAAACCCCCTGATTACTTGGTTCAATTAGAAATACACTCCCCCTTTTTGTTTATTTAATTAATTTATTTATTTTATTATTAATATTTATTTTTTATAAATTAATTTGTATTTCTTTTTTTATTAAAATATTACAAAATTTTCTTTTTTAATATATTTAACTTATTTTTTTTAGAAGACTATTAATTTATTTTTAAATAATAATTATTATTACTGGCTACCTATATTCTTAAAATACTAACTTATTTTTTCTAAACTTTTACTTACTTTAAATAGTCATTATTTATTTATTTATTCAAACATTTATTTTTACTTTTATTTTCAAAATTACATCAAGTATTAAAATAGCTAACCCACCAAATTATCATTTTCACTACCTTAATAAAAATTAAGAATATTTTTAAAAAAGGATTGTCAAATTGCTTTCAAATCAAAATTGTGAGCCGTGTCTACGATCACTTATTTTTTAAAATCAAATAAGATGCAAGGATAATTCGAAAACAATTCTACGTAATCCTATAAAAACACTAACCAAACACATAATGAACTATGAAATAGACTCTAGTTTCTTCGCAAGAGGATACGTAGACATGCAGTTAAAACCAATGTGAGTTCTCTAACTAAAAATTAAACCTTTTCCTTTCACATATACATGATAGTAACATATTTTAAATATAAAATTCTCATCAAATCCTAAATCTAAATAAAGGTCCCCTTGAGAACAAAAGAGATAAAATGTGTCTAACACCTTCCCTTTATCTAACCAATTCGCAGACTTAGAAATTTTTAAAAATTTACAATTATCAGTTCTATCCCATTCTTAGCACAAAAAATAATGATGGCGACTCATTTTTTTTTATTGGTTACGACAAGATGCTATAAGAAATCTCTTTATATATACCTTCTAAATTTTCCCATTTTGGAGGAGTCAAAATTGGGCCAATCCCTTCTCTCTCCCTTAGAAAAAGTTAAATAAAGAATTGAAATAATTTATCTCAATCAAAATCAGCTTATATTCTTAGTTTAGAAAATCTTTAAAAAATAACACCCTATTTTTTAACACTTTCTTTAACCTCCCCTCCTTATTGAGAGAAGCATATGCGTCATTCCCTTTAGAAAATCGATCATATATAAACTGATAGGACATTCAACACGTGCATCATTCATTTTAAAAAATAAATGTCATATAAAGTAATAAAACCCACATATATTCATCCAATAAAAAGTATTTTATAATTCTTTTTTAAGTCTTTTTATTATATAAATTTTATGTTTCTTTATTTGTCATTTTCAAATTAATATTGATTATAGTTTTGTCAAACTTATTCCTAATAACTATTATAAATGAGTATAAATTAGAATAATGAATAATTAAAATATTATAGATAAAATGAAAATTATTGTTTAAAAAATAGTCATAATTATTAGCTTTTTTAGCATAGATAAAAAGTCAAAAAAATAACGATTAAAAAAAATCATGAGAAGTGTTAAAGAAAGTGTTTACCCCTCTTATTCCTTTGTTGAAGTTTCTCTCCTTATCTAATTAGTTTTCAGTTTCTTCTATCTTTTTCTGAGCTTCGACCATCTTTCATGTGGGAAATTTTTTGAGAAAAGGAGACAAGCTTTTATGAACAAGTGATAGCACCCTCTTAGCAAAGGTTTGGAAAGTTAGAATATCATGATGTCAATGCACGACTCAATTGAAGTTGTGTCGGCAGGAGGTGACATATCACATGTTGAAAGAATTTGTATCTTTGATAGTTGATTCTAAACATAAGCATGTGCCTTGTTACTATACACTTCCATATCAACATAACATTAAGAAGTTTGTACCTTGATTCTTAAGTTTTGTGTGTTTTATTTTTTTACTTTTTTTCAGGACTTAGGTTATAATTGATTTTTTGCTTTCATGGTTTATTTTCATTTGGATCAAAACCATGAAAATAAAAACAGTTATTCCCATACACAACTAAGAAAATAGAAGAAACCAAAATTGTAAAAGCACTAAATCATTCAGTTACTAGGTTGGTCATGAATGATTTTATCCGATTCTAACAAATGTGAGTAGCAATAATCACCAGAAACTCACAGACAAATGTGAGGTCTCAAATTTGAACCCAAAACATGGTATCCATCCTAATTAATGAATAGCTTTATCAATCTATTGAGCATCAAACCTAAAGAACACTTTGTGAGTTACTAATAACTTTCAATTTTACTGAGACATACTTTATCTATTACAGTTCATTCATAAGCAATTAACAAAAATAATAAGAGCAATGTTGAAAAGGCAAATGAACATTTTTTATTCACAGGGTCACACATTCACATTTCAAACGCTACAACAAAAGTGTCGCAATTTTTTATTTCCATTTCATAACAAATATCTTATCATTATTAATATTATTATTATTATGACAACGATAACTTATAACATTTCATTCAAGTTTGTACACACGCATTTTCAGAAGCATCATCATGCTTGGCAACACAGAACAACCACATGAGTTGGGTGTTACTAACATATTGTAGCAAGTACCTCTAATAAGGAAGCAGCAAATTGCATTTGGGTTTCTTCATTTATCGTAAAGAAAAGCGGCGTGTGCACGAAAAGGGATTTGATACCGTTCTGCTCCGCGAAACGAAGGGAATGATAGTAAACATAATTGCACACAAACCTTCCTGCATCATCAGATGTCATTACATCATAACCTTTATTTGCCAAGGCTTTGGTGATCTCCTCCACAGGAAGGGTAGACTGCATAAAAGTTACGACAAACGACTAAGTTATCGCAAAAACATGGAACAAACATTATGGCAAAATTTTGATGCAGCAATTCATGCTGTTTTCAACTGTCCTTTATAAGCTGCACTTCAAAATACTTGCTTGGATCCAAAATAAATGAAATTAAAAAACGAACCTCGACATACTTATATTTGGACTAAACATCAAGCTCAAGAGAACTTTAATTTACGAAGCAAAAGAAAATCCAGTGATCCAATTTACCTCCCGTATATGTGAAACTGTGCCATCTGAAGGAACAATTGGAACTTTCTGCAACATACAAATTTTGGAAATGTCACCGAAGGATAATAGTGTGTACTTTAAGATCAGACCTAAAAGGTTTGACGAAAGCAAGTTAAAAATGCATCCACTACCTGTGGCTTCCATCCTAGCTCATCAGGGCAACGAAATGTAGCCTCGTTAACAGCTTGACGCTCTATAGCGAACCTTGTTGCACCGCTGTTAACCCCAAAATGCAGCTGAACAAACATAACAAAAAATAGCCAGAACTTGAGAAGCATTAAGAAAAGAACATACTCTGCGAACTACTCAAAAGTATATTGGCAACTCACCCAGATAATTTTATTGGAACTCGAAGATTCAGAGTCCTTAGCAGCAATGGCAGTTTGCAATGTCTGGTACAGTGGAATGAGGCCTCCTTGTCCAGCAGTATCAAGAATGCTGCAGCTCCCAATAACTAAACCTTTCGGCAAACCCTTCGTTTTCACATATTCCACCAAATTATTCACAACCGTCTCCGTTGGATTATGTGAAACTCCATGGAATTTCTTGAAACCTGTTATATAAACTGTTGTTACAGCCGCAGAAGGACCTTCAGATCCCATTTGCTGATGATGGTCTATTAATATTCAAAGCTTCAACCAGAAAGTATTCGATAAAATACCTGACAATAAATTACAAGAAACACGGTTAACAGCGCAAAAAAGTCAAACCTTCTTTATACAAAACAATGATATCATAATTTCAAATCATCAGTTCAAAACAGAAATCATGCCAGAAAGTCATTTATCAAACATTGACTTAACAGTATTATTACTTGGGCCGCAATATCCATGCGATCGCAACATAATCACAATTATTGAGGCTTTATCAGCAGCAGTTGACTGCTATCCTCACCAATATTAAGCATCCTGATGAGATACAACACAACTAAACCGCAACTTAAAATCATGACAGTATTACACTAAAATTGAAACCCACCACCAAATTCCAAGTCTTTACAAGGAACCCAAATCAGAGAAAGTGATCAAAGGAAAAAAAATTCATTAATTTCACTCAAGAACTAAAAAAAAAAAAACTTTTTTGTAATCCCAGATATCCCAATCACAGTATATAAGCTGAAATCAGAATTGGGTTTTGCCAAAATCATCGAAAATTTTCAAGAGTGATTGATGAGAAACCAAATTCAATAGTAATTGATGACAAACAAACATCCAAGAATTTTCAGAGAAATACTGCAATTATCCATGATGATCACACAACCAAATGATGAAAGAACAAAGAATTTTACATAATAAAATTAAGATTATCTAATAATAATAATAATAATAATAATAATCAACTAACAAGAATGAAAAACCCTGAAATCAAAGAGAGATAGAATAAAGATTTTCCTTACCAGAAAACAGGAAGAAGAAAATGTTCAAGTTGAATAAAAGAGAAGATGATGACACACCACACCGTTGTTGAGTCTTATCTACTCGAAGCAAATTAACTGGTGAAGATTCCGATTAGATTTAGAAAGAAAAAAACTATATAAATAAAGAAATATACCAAAGGAAAGTGCGTGTCGTTTTCATTCATAAAATAAAGAAAGCACTGTTATGGTAATTCGTTCGTGTTCTTGTTCTTCCAAACGTGCGTTACCTCTGTAAATATTCTTTCTAGTAACTGTTTATCAAGTTGTGGTTTATCAGTGATGAAACGAAGGGGCATTGTATTACTTTTTATTAAATGGGATTTCTAGGTTGGTATACAAATTAAAGTAATATTAACTATTTTAATTATGTGTTTAATTTAGAATATCTAGTTTTTATTATTTTAATTAATATTTATGGATTATAATGGAGCACGATATCACTATCATCTCCGTCGTTAGAATACATTCAATGTCTCTTTGCAATTCAAGTTGAATCATCTGAGACAGTTATACTTGTCATCTATGTATATGTGTGATTATGTGTTACGTCTAGATATTATTCTCATGCGCACTTGCATAACTCCATCTCTCTCAACACTAACTTGAGCTTTGAATTGATAACCTTGTAGGTATCATCATATCGAGAGAAAAGAGTATAAAAGAGTGTCATAAGACATAGAGATATTGCCCAATATACAACAATGCTAAGTTTTTCTAGTTTTGACATCATGTAAAATATCTAATGGTGAAGTTGCACTCACATACTCCCCTTTTTTTATGATGACAAAACTTACGATAATGCATTTCATATAGTTATCGAAGGCTCCCCTGACTTTGTACTTTCCAACTTCATCTCGCATATTCTTCTCCCCTTTTGACAACATAAAAAAGAAAGATAGAAATCATGAGAAGTATCATAGTCCAATACAAATACTAATATATCACCCAGAAGCATTTTTGCATAAAAGAGCAACAATCACATATCCCCATATATGTAATGATGCGAAATTGATAAATAACAAGCAAGCAATCATTACAACATATGTAATATAATGCATGGTGAATAAATAATGCAATGCAAGCGAAAACTTTTCAAATTGCTTATTGTGATACGGTGAGAGAACTGACTTAGGTGTTTTGTATTTGATCGCAAATGTTACGGTTAGCAAGAGTCGCCACCGACTTTTCTTTTATCCAAAAGGAAAGGTGAAAAAGAACAGGAAAGACCTTTGAGATTGTTTCTTAAGTTCGGGGGGTAGATTATGAAAAGGGAAGGTGTTAGCATCCTTTTCATCCATAGTTTTCCATGGGCTCTTAGTTACTTGTTAAATCACTTGGTTTTGTTTGAAAATGTGATTTGTGTGGTTTTTGAAAGTATTTTGTAAAGACGTCGTTGTTTAGGCAAGCTTTGTAATGATTCTCGTTCGTAAGAATGTATACAAAGGGGTTGATCTTTTGAAAATATTTTCAAGTTTGAACGATGTTTTTGAAAGTGTAGGTGTTTATTTTGAAAATAGCAAGGATGTTTTTGTTTTGAAATTGAGCAAGTAACCAGGAACATTCTACCTACTCAAAAGTCTTTTATGTTCATTTCCTCTTTCCTTTGACGTTGTTATCTTACCATTGATTTGGTAAGTAACCCTATCTTTGGATGTAAAGGGACGGGCGTTAATCATCGTATAGTCATGATAGCAATATTGTGAGATATCTTAGAATTTCTCTTGAGGGACTAAGATCACTTGTAAGGCAACATTTGAAGCGTCAACGAGGGACTATGATCTTGTATTTTGATTGTTTTTGCTAAGACATCCCACATGCATAACATGACCATTTTTATAAGGCAACAAGTGAAATTACCCTAAGGGTGAATGTGTGAATAGTGTGTTTGATTTGCATGCATTTAATCTTTGATTAGGGTTATATACTTGTTGATTTTATCTTTCCATATAAACCCTAATTTACTAGCATTTATATGAAAGCGATAAATTGCGGAAAGTAAATTTACTACGCTATTACATTATTTGGGGATGAGGTATACAAATTTACAAATGGGGGATTGTAAGAAATTAAACATAATTATCTATTACAATCATATTGAAATAATGAATAATGTACAAGGATGTAAATAGAAAAGAAATGGATTTTTGTTTAGATTTTGAAGAAAATGGTTTTAACCTAATTATCTAAAAAAAATACTTAATTAAAATAAGTAAAATTAAACCCTAGTTTAAAAGAAATAAAATTAATCAAGAAAGCATTTTTAAGTTTTTTTTTGTTTATGAAAAGTCTTGATTTAATTAAACTAATAAAAGGAAATAATTTAATTAATTAAGATCCCTAAATTCTAATTTGATTTAATTAGAAAAGAAATTCAAAGCAAAAACTAAGTTAAAAATTAATTTAATCAAAAAAATAAATTTGTTAAGAAAAATGTTATTTTTTTTGTTTTTAATAAATAAAAAAACTAAAAGATGCTACTTTGAATAAATCACGAATAATCAAAATAAAAATATTTTTGGTGAGATTTTTATATATTCATAAAATAGACCTAATAAACTAGTAGTGTGCAAAAAATTAGTTCAAAAGGAGTTAACTTATGGGTTAAATAAATTGTTGAAGTTTGTTAAAAATGTAAAATGAGTCAAGTGATAAAAATAAGATTTTTGGTCTTGCCAAGGCTTGAACTCAAGACAATCAAGTTGCTAGCTCAAAATAATACCACTAGGCCAGGCATGTTTTCTTTTCAACCATGCGCTTGCATAATATTATATGAGAACATTGTTTCCTGAAATCACAAAATCACAAAATATGCAAAAGGGGAGTTCACGCGCACTGCTTGCCACTGGGGTGGCTGTTACATCCATTAGTGAAACCACAATCATTAAATATACAATAAACTTGGATGTAAAAATTTGAAAATCTTTCTTCTTCCTCCTGCACGCTGTTAATGTTACTGTAATAACATGTATTTTCCATTTTTTTCAAAAAACACTCTAACTTCCTCATTTCTCAACCAAATTCAAAAATGTAAAAATGAAACTTGCTTAGAATTCCGCAAGGATTTCAAATGTGTAATTAGTTTTTATTTATTCCAACTATAACTCACGAATTTCTACCTGTACCAAACTGAAAACCTAAATGTCCAAAAATTTTAGTTTCAAAATTCTCATCCCACAGTCAATTAAAGTGAAATTTAAGGATATGGTTAGCTTCATAGACATGATATCTACATTTTATCTTTTTAAAGTAAGTGCAAATGATACTTGTATCAAGATTTCAAAGTTGGAAAAACTTACCTCTTGATGCAAAAATTCAATGGCCTCTACACGACTTCCAGAAGCAATATGATGATTGCTTTAGCTTCCTGGGACCTTGGTGAGTATGTTGTAACTTTTACTTTGCCTTGAAAGTGTATGGATTTGTCTACTCAAGTCAAGTTGCAATGGTGGATTTTGAAAATGGTGGATGATGAAAATGATGTTACAGTAAGGAAACAGGGGTATGGATAGTTTCTATATGATATATATGAAGCGTTTAGATGATTTGTTTGGACAATAGTTGCAAGTGATGAGTTTCGAAGTTAAGGTTTCAAAAGCTTAAAAATGGTGATTTTTGGCCAATTCTGGTTTGAGAGTGTATGAGAGGGTTTAAGGGCTTGTAAATTAGTCCCCTCATTTGCATAAGAGTGTCTTGATATATAGGAAAAGGTTTGGAGACTTGAGATGGTCAGATTACCAAGATCACATGTTATGGCATTTTTGCTTGTTTTTGAAGCAAAGTGGAAAACCAAAATCCCAATGTATGGTACAAGCTATGTAGAGTGGTTGAATCACTTTAAACATACTTCTTCTGAGTTGCTACGTTGAGTGTGTGCAGATAGAGCCATTGAGAGGCTCAAGAAAGGGTTGACATTGTGAAAAAGCTTGCTTTACAAGAATGGATATGTTACTTTTTGCAATTTCAACCATAAATGGTATCAAGACTTGGACAAAACATCAAATCCTTGTGTAATACACTTAGGGTATGTATAATTACTTAATTATGGAGAGATTTAGAAGCAACATGGCCTGAAAAGTGAGATTGAATGATAAGGTTATGAGATTTGATTATGAGTTCATCACAAAAATGACTTATAATTCAAGTTTATCATGCCAACTTCAAGTCTTCGAATCTCCTAGCTCAAAA